TGTGTTCACGGCCCATGAATGTTCCACCTCTGTACACACATGTTTATGGTCCTAAATCATACTTTGAAAATGGATTCGGAAGCTAAAAAGGTTATACTAAGAGTTAAGATGGTTACCTTGATGATTTGGGGCTTGAATTCAATGATTTTTGGACCAAGAATTGAGTTGTAGAGAGAGAGTTGTGAGAGAGGGTGAAAAAGCTTCAAATGGGAACCTTTTGAACTTTATATATGGTTTAAATTTTGGACACGGTGGAATTCTACCCGATACTGACGTTATACAATGCTTTTGGTCGCACCCGATTAAGTTGCCGTAACCCGATATGGTTGAAACTAAAAATTTTCCAATTATTAAATTGGGGCATAATCATGAGTTTCTAATGTGTTTGGACACCCATTAAGTCATAATAGAAGTCTCAGAATTAATAGCTTAATTTAATAACGTAAACGAAAATAATTTGAAACGACGAATTTATTAACGGAACGGGTTACAATAACGGAATGAACTTCAGGTTGTCACAATCTTACAGCTTAAAGTGAAGATCATTGATGGTTCATACTTGCAGTTCTACGATCAGGTATATTTTTGCAAAACTTTGTACTAGTTAGGATGTCCCTATAAGGATGTTGCAACATGTTGACTCAAGCCTTCTTTGACTTAATGTGTGATTTAGAAGGCTTAATGAAGTATTCATCATGGAAATTTCAACCAAATCAGGCTGTATTCACATTAGTCCATGATCTAACATACTCTACTCATATGAGTTAAAAGTGATCTGCTTGGTCCAATAAATAGCAGTGGTACATTCGAATTTCTTTAACCAATCTTTTTCATCTCAAAGTTCTTACACTTTCACACAAGATGACATATGTCCAAGAGATCTCTAGTAAAACCAGTCAGTATTTAGACATATCAACATTTGGTGTTAATGATCTAGCATCATAAGACCGTGATGAAAGTGAAACCCTAAATATCGAACCCTTTGAGGAATTGATGGGGAAAATTGTTCCATATTTAATGAAACATTTGTTTCTGTACTCATCTTCGATACTCCAAATCATATTCAATTGTTTTGAATGGTCTTGATCAAATGTTCGAAATCCCCGACATTTGTTTCCTAACAAGATCCAGGTGATATTTTATTTTCATGAATATAATTTATGTGTGAGTATTATTTGTTTCTTGAGTTAATTATCAAAATTTTCCAAAGCCTACTTATCACTAACTACACTGGTCAAACAAGTAGTTTATGTTAGAATTACTTGCATTTATTTTAAGTGTTGATATGTAACGAAATCGTAAACTGTGACATCCTCATTTATCTTGGCTAGAAAAAACCGATTTAATTTATGCTTTTAAAATAAAATCAGAGTAATTTTCCAAAAGACGTTACATAATTTGTTCCCAAAATAAAATATAATAAAATTTTAACAAAACATTTCTTAAAGAAATAAATATTTTCATTATATATCAAAACATCGGGATGTCATGTTCTGAAATAGACCAAAAGCATAAACAGTAAATTATAAGCCTTACAACAGATATTTACAACTAATGGCTTATAATTCAAAAGTCCCTCTTCAACCTCCAAACTACGCTCAGGGTCCACTACCTATAATACAGAAAACTGAGTTGGTCAGTCTTGGGAGCCTGGTGAACATATAGGGTTTTGAACCCACAGTAAATAAATTTATTAATTTCATCAAACAACAATAACCCAATTACCCATTCTCGTTATCCTCACTTTACGTCCCTAAAACAACTATCACAAGGGACCTAGCCTAAAGATTTTCATCGGGACGACAACACTGCTTTGGGGGTTTCCTAATAATTTATGTCAAATAAGGCAACCATGTGGGGAATGGAATACAATAAATGAACACCCAAGCTCATTAACACCTACAGGTTGTGAGCCTGCCAGCGTTCCACATGACTATCTAGAAAAGTCTGTGCTCATCATCCATACTCCGCTAGATGACTGGATCACAATAACATCGAGACCTCTCATCATTTTATCACACATCAATATATTTCATCTACCCATTGTTATACCCAACATATTTGTAGATAAAATAAATATACATATTTTAAATCATTTTAAACATGCAATAAAACATTCATTCAACATCCAACTCAAATAGAAAAATCAATATAAATAAACATAGCATGTATTTTATAGAAAATACTTTATATCTATGTGTAAGATGAAAGTGACTATACACTCACTTGTTAAGACAATAATTAGGCAGCACCTCGTCTCTTAAAATAATATTCTTGGATGAAACCGGGATATTTTCTCAAGAACCGGGCTTCACGCGTGTAGAGTTTTGGCTTCAAAATGTAATTTTTTGGGAACTTCAGAGCGTCGGGACTTGCTTCGGGTGTTAAGACGATATACTAGGCTTCGAGGGTATTTCTTGCAATTTAGGAGAGAGTTTAGGGGTGTAAAGGTGTAAAGAAATTAAACACAATCTGGCTGCCCTCGAGTTCTATTTATAGGGGTTGGAACCTCGATTTACGTTGGGCATAATATCCTTGTATGATGGGCGTACTGCGAGGCGGTCCAGTACATTGGGCGTACAGGTGGATCATCTCCGATGCATCGGAGCTATGTACACATGTCGACCTTAGAAAGTAGTAGGTTACGTATCCCAACTCAGACAATGAACACGAGTATCCTAGGTGTACTCATGTACGCTGGGCGTACTCCGAATTTTCAAACTTATAAAATACATAACTTTTGCATACAAACTCCGCTTTTAACATTTTTTATATCCACGCGTAGGTGAGAATATGCTCTATAACTTTCGTTTAGACTCCCTCATCTAATTTTGATTTTATTTTTAAAGTAATATTTTTAACAGACCAAGATAGGAAAAGTCCGTTAAAATTTCATAACTTCTTCATCCGACGTCCGTTTTCGTCTGTCTTTTTACCATTAAACTACAATCAACAAGATCTTTGATTCTCGTTTAGATTGTTTCAGCTAAAAATCACTCGATCTAAAATTCGAGTTTTTAGCTGCATACTGCTATGCAATATCATAGAAAATTCATTACTTCCTCATAGGAAGTCAGATTTTGACATTCTTTTTATGTACGATGTCGGTTTAACGAATACTACGATTTTCATTTAGATCAGTAAGGCTAAAAAGAACTTTAACGAAAATTCACTTTTTACGTCACATAGAGTTGTGCTGGTTCTATCGCAAAACTTAGACATGTCATAACTTCTTCGTTATAAGTCGGATTTCGGTATTCTTTATATCACAGAAATCCTTATTTCAACCATTACAACTTTCTACATATATATTGGGTTGATCTAACATTTTATTTCTTACGCTTATTTTTATCATTAATTCATTAATCATTATAATTAAGCAGATAAGCACATAATTCACATAATATTCACATAATTCCCCTTTATTATTTCAAAACGAGCTACAAAGGTTAACATAACTATTACATCATCTTTAGTACTTAGCCCAGAAACACGGGTGTTAGATAAACCACACATGAAGCTTATTCAAAAGAGGTCCTTCGATATTTTTCTACAAGTATTCAATTGTATTTCACAGGAAACCACACAAGCTGTTAGTCATCTCTCTTGATGAATAACGAAGCAATATTTGCCCGAGATTTATCTTGTTTTGGGTCAAAATTTAATTTGTTCGACATCACAGATCCAATTTTTTTTTATTTTATTCTCATCTTTTTCTTTGGCACACTGCACTCACGAAATCCTTGAGGTTCTGGGTATTACCAACTCAGCCTGATGATTTCGAAAATCTGGAATATGACTTCACTTTTCCACCCAAAAGTGAAAGAGCCTAACCTCTATTTTGAAGGTTTTTTATGGTTAACATTTCATTGGGGCAAGTTACCAGGCTGTGTGACATGATGTTTTGTATTATGTCCAAGTTTCAAGGAGACATGACGGTTTCTTTATCACACATGGCAATATTATCAGCGTGTGGGTGCGATTTTTAAGGTGCCACATCAACTATCATTAAATGTTGATCCCGCATCTAACTCAAATCCAAGGATAACCTATAAAAAGGGTTTCAAGGGTTCATTACATGGTTACGCTTTCTGAAAAATTCCCAAATTGCAGAAGAATTATTTGCCTTCTTTATCCATCTTCAAACCCCAATCATGGAAAATCCCGCTGTTGTTCATGCCCCATCTCAAACCATAGAAGATGTTTCTTCCCTGCCCATAATGAAAATTTAAAACACAAATTATCAGTTGAAAGTGATGTTTCAGTTTATCCTGAAGAGTTACAGATGTTAATCCTGGCCTTACAACACTCGGTTCTAAAGACGGCCATGTTCAGTTCATATGAAGTTCCAATGTCTTGGTTATTACATTCAGGTTCTACGACCACATACAACAAGACATTAGATGTCATCACCTGCAATCTGATCAATGAAAAGAAGTTCCGGTTGTCTAAGAAGCTTTTTTTGTCAAATCCTTGAATTACCTAATCCACCTCCTTTGTACAAAGTCACCAATGATCAAGTTCTTCATATGTTCAACGAGATGGGTTATCAAACTGTTATTACTAGGATCATTGAGTTCAAGAAGTCAGGCCTCCCTTGTATTTGGAATTTTCTTTTTGGCATATATCTCCGATGCCTTACTGGTTGGAGTGTAGGTGTATACAAAGGGAGATTGGAAGTTTATGCAATGGTGGCTGGCATTTATTATGACATTCCTGTTGATTATGCTACCTAGATGTGGAAGGAGTTTCTGAAAAGTGTGGAAAATACCAACGTGGTGGATGGAGTTTCATGTGCAAGATACTAGAGTTTAATTCTTCGATTTTCATATGAAAAAGAAGGAGTAATGGTACTAAATGATAAGGCCAGAACAGAATTTTTGAAGTACAATTTTCCAAAGGCTGTTGAAGATAATGGTGAGGAATTTCCTATGGTTGCGAGGATTCCTTATGGCATGCTTAAAAAGGTGGATCCTTCAAACTCAGTCTTACAAGCTTACATGAAAACTGTCAATACCTCAATCAAGACTAGTGTTCTGTTGCCACGGTCTGAAGAGAGTTCTTCCAAACATTCAAGATATTCAAAGAAGGTTGAGGAGAATCCTTTGAATCCTATTCAGGAGAAGAAACGATCAAAGTCTCCAAAGAAGAAATCAATAGAAGAAGGAGCTGTTTCTAAGACTCAGGAAACACCAATTTCACCAGAAACTGATGAATCCCCAAAGGAAGTGTTTCCTTTGAAAACTAGGGTGTTCAAGCGAATTAAGAAGATTGCCCACAAGTCACGAAGTTCTTCTAACCGAACTCCAAGTTTTTCTCAAATGATTTGCAAGCCACACGTCAAAAGAAAGTGTGTAGTGCTTTCTGAAATTTTGGTTCCTTCTTCTCCATCATCAAAGAAACACAAAGCTGAAGATATGGAAAAACACATTTCGAAGAAACAGAAAAACAAACTTCGAAAGCTGGTGATAAATGACGAATCTAAAGAAGAAGAAGTTCTTCAGGATCCTCCACTGACAACATCTCAAGTCAACATTTCCAATGTCGAAATTTCTTGTTGTATCTTTACAAGTATCTCAACTAGAACCACTCCTTGTTTCTCTTCCTTTGGTAACAAAAATTTCAAAACGACATAGCCTCAAGGTACTCCTATCATTGTTCCATCTCTCTTCGAAACTTCCACCGTAGATACTTCTACCACATTACCTCCTTTTGTTACCACTTCTCTTGACACTAACTCACATACTTTCGATAATATTCTAAATCAATTACTTCCTTATTTTTTACACAATATACTGAACCTCCACTTACTCATGAAGAAGTTCATCCTTCATCTGATGATGATGAGAATGTTTTTGTTGGAACTTTTAGGGATATTCAATTTAATCTAGAAGAGGAGCAGATTCCAGACAATATGATACTCATAGGAAAACAATTCAAAATCCTGAATCAGAAGCTTAATTTGTTATTACATATTCAAGACGATGGAGGAGGGAAACATTCAGTGTCCAGTCTGGAAGTTGATCTTTTACTCAAAAAGCAAGTAGGTCGTCTTCATGAGGCAGTTTCTAATATTAACAGAAACAATGAGAAGCGTGTGAAGAATCAATTATCTACGTTCTCCGATGATTTTAACGAACTGTAAGTTGTTGCGAAAGAATGTCACATCTTATTCATTCAAGATGTCAAGAGTGTAAGGGAGGATGTGCACCTCAAGCTTCAAGAAATGCGAGACGATATGAGCAAGGAGATAGCAGTTGTTCACCAAGATTATGCTTCTTTAAATCAGAAAATGGACATAATTACAGATGCAATTACAAAATTTGTCAAGTTATATGAAGTCCTTGGTCCCAAGGTTGAACAAATGTCCTAAGATGAAGTTCAGAGTTTTTTGTAAATCAACAAGTTGTTGAATAAGTTAAAAGAACTTGTTTCGAATCCAGAGTCTTCTCCTTTGATCACTCAAAAAATTTTGTCTCAAAAGTTTCTCTTAGTCGAATTTGTTCTTCGCAAACAATTAGCCTCGTTGTCTCAACTTGTTAGTTTTCTACCAATAAATGCCCCACCTATTGTCATAGGGGTGCAAGGGAGAGAAAGGAAGCATGTTGGTGAAGGAGCTTCTGGGAAACCTGGAGATGAAGCTAAGGTGGTTGGTAAACTGTTTACAATAAATATTCCTTCATCAAACCAAATATTTTCGAAAGTTGATCCTGTAGTTTCAACTGTTACTATTACAAGGCCAGTTTTAAAAGGCATTGTGATTGGAACAAGTGGAGAAGGTAGTGCTTTGAAACCTAAAGAAATTCCAACAATTCAAGACATAGGGAAAAAGGTTATTGTTGAAAAATCAAAAGAAGAAAGGAAGGTTGAGGTTGAGGCTGAGATGAAAAAGCAAAGGCAAATTCAAAGTATTTTAAGACTTTGACATAATGATCCTCCAAATCTTAACAGAGGAGATCCAAGGAAACTACACAGTTGTGAAAACATTAAAGCAAGGGTGACATATAACGAAATGCATGATTTCAAGAAGAAGCCTAGAAAAAGTTATTTTTATCAAAAATTATGAAATGAATTAACTGGATTTCCCAATGAATGAGATGATGTTCATTACTGCTCAGTACAAAATTGTTGATAGATTCAAGAATCTAGATGATTTTACACATATGACGCTGAGATTTCATGCAATTTTGGGAAAAGAGCAAGAGGAAGTCTGGTCACTTGTAATATTGTCCAAGTAATAAGCATGACGAATGATGAAATTTTTTAAAATATGCTTCAAAAATTCAGATACATGTTGTAAGGGCGAACAAGGTTGCATGTAATTACTCCATTGTTGATTTTCCATTAATGAATTTGAATGATCTTATTCAAGTTGCATACATTCTCAAGGAGTCAGATGCTTCTAAGCTTCAGGAACCAGCAAAGAAGTGTTAAGGTTGGGGTTAGGACATCTTAAGCTTTTCATAGACAATTATTACGATTTCCAAGCATTGACTGCTATAGAATTATCTATGTCATTGGAAAAAGAAGTTGAAGTTCCTCAATAAATGGTGAAAACAAAAGCTAATATGATAGCATATGATGATGGTGAAATATGCTTAAAACCTTATGGGATAGTTTTTGTTGGGAAGCGTAAGAATGGATAATAGTCGAAGTTTTTGTTCCAAACAAATGATGTCGAAAGGTACACAACAACTCAATATACGAACTTAATTGTTCATATGAATAATTGTAAGAAGAACACAGAAGGAGATAAAGCTGAAATGAGAAAGATCAAGAATTGGTATGCTAAAGTTCGGAAATCGTTACATAAAGTTGTTCAAGTTTTGATCAATTAACTTCGACACATATTACAAAGGGGAGAATGTTAGTGTCGAATATATTGTAATGTGTCTAAATCTGTATTGGCGGTTTCAAAAGTTATTTAACTATTTACTAATTTGTTCTATGTTCTGAAGCTTAATGTTTAGTCCTTAGTATTTTTTGTATACTTTCTGATTCTCCTATAAATAGGAGTGATACTCAGGGGTAGATAGAACTTTCCCAAGCTTTTTGTATAAAAATTCTCTTTGTATTCAAAAGTATAAGTGAGCTATAAACAAGATATTATTTACTTTGTGTGTTCATATAATTTTATTACTCTGATTTCTGCTATACACGATTAAATCACTTCTACAGAAGCCTAAGAAGTGTTATGGATAACCGGTTGTTAACCGAATAATAGGTTCTAACAAGTTAAAATTTCAACCATAAAATTTAAAACTTTCATGATATTAGTCTTAGAGCTACAATGTACATGGGCTTATACTATTCAAATTCATCAGATGCGGAGTTAATTGGTTATGTAGATGTTGGCACACAAAGCTCGATCCTAAACTGGTTATTTATTCACCTGTGGAGGTACCACAATTTCTTGGCGTTCTATTAAACAAATTTTAGTTGTTTCTTTTTCTAACTGTGTAAAGACTATAACAATTAATGAGGCAAGTTGTGAATGTATTTGGTTAAGAAATTTAACTCATCACATTCGTGAGAATTGTGGTCGAACTTCTAACAGGTACGTTCCAACGATATTATATGAAGATAATGCGGCACGTAGAACCCAACTAACGGAAGAGTTTATCAAAGGAAACAGAACCAAACATATATCACCGAATGTATTTTTTACTCATGATCTTTAAAATAAGTGTGACATTAACATCCAAAAAATTCAATTAAGTAATTAAATATCAAGATAAATTATAGAGTAATGGAAGACATGAGAGTGGAGAGAACATTTATTCCAATACTTGTGATGAAATCATCAACTTTCTAATACATATGGATCACTATTTATACAACCAAAATAAGATGAAAGATGAATGGGCATTATGATGGTGCATTATTATACACATAAAACACAATGAAATTGTTGTTACTAATGTTAAATAAGGATAGAGAGTTATGAGAGAAATAGGGAATCCAATGATAATCTAATATTTGATAACTTGAATGAAAATTGTATCATGCCTCGTTAAAAACCATAATAGGTAAAATCTCATGGGAATAACCCTTTAGTAAGGAAAAAGAGTACATCATTAATAATACATGTTGGAAAGAATTTTCTCGTTCAAAACCTTGCTAAGAAAATCTAGTAGGAAAAATATAGCTAAGGAAAATATTACAACATGCTTCCAACTCCCCTTGATCAACTCATCACTTTATTTCCTTGAAGTGCCGCATAGAACTGTTTCGTAACATCTTTTCATAATTTAGATGTAGGAAATGCTTTAGTGAAAAAATCATCCAGTTGTTACTTGACTGCATTTTCTGGATGTTGATGCACACTCCTTTTAAAGATCGTGAGTGAAAAATGACTTTGGTGATATATGTTTGGTTCTATCTCCTTTGATAAAATCTTCCTTGAGTTGGGTTATACATGTCGCGTTATCTTCATATAGTATGGTTGGAATGTCCCTGTTAGAAGTTAGACCAGAATTTTCATGAATGTGATGAGTTAAATTTCTTAACAAAATACATTCACGGCTTGCCATATGAATTTCTATAATCTCTTCATGGTTATAAGAAGTAGTAATTAAAGTTTGTTTAATAGAATGGAAAGAAATTATGGTACCTCCACATGTGAATAAATAATCTGTTTAGGATCGAGCTTTGTTTGGATCAGACAAATATCCAACATCTTCATAACCAATTAATTTCGTATTTTATGAATTTAAATAGTATAAGCCCATATCCATTATACCTCGAATATATCGAAGAATGTCTTTGACTCCATTCCAATGTCTTTTTGTTGGGCAAGAAATATATCTTCCTAATAAGTTTACAACAAAAGATATATCAGGTCTCATATTATTAGTAATATACATTAGTACACCAATAGCACTAAGATATAGTACTTCGGGATCAATAAGTTTTTCATGTTTTTCACAATGCCGAAATTGGTCCTTTTTGTCATCTAAGTGCCTTATTAACATCGAGTTACTCATGGATGAGAGTTTTCCATACAAAACCTTTTAAGAACCTATTCTAGATAACTGAATTGATGTACAAAAACCTCCATTTTTGTGTGCATAATTTGAAGACGCAAATAAAATTTTGTTTTACCAAAATCTTTCATTTCAAATTTATTCTTTAAGAAAAGAAATAACCGTTTCCAACTCTCCAGTAGTTTAAATAATGTACAAATCATTTACGTATACCATAATTGGGCAGATTGTTTTAATCCATACAAAGATTTATTTAATTTTACCAAATATACATATCAACAATTAGAGGTTTGTGCTTCTCGCACCATAAACCCTTGTGGTATTTTTCATATAAATATCATTCTCAAGTAAACCACATAAATAGACGATAACTACATCCATCAGACGCATCTCCAGTTTTTCATGTGTTGCCAGACTTATTAGATAACGGAATGTAGTTGCATCAACCACAGTAGAGTATATTTCTTCATACTCAATTATGGGCCTTTGGGTAAAACCATGTGCAACAAGTCTTGCTTTATATCTCATAATTTCATTTTTCTCATTTCTTTTGTGCAAAAATACCCATTTGTGTCCCACTAGCCTTACTCCGTTTATTGTACGAACAACAGGACCAAAACCTTTTCGTTAAGTATGAGAATTAAGATCTTTGTTGATTGCATCTTTCCATTTTGGTCGATCTTTTATATTTCTACATTCCTCTAATAGATTTAGGTTCAAGATCCTCATTTTTCTTCCATAATCTCGAACGCAACATGATATGAAAAATTATCATCGAAGTCTATCTTGTTTTGGTTCCATCTTATTCTTGTCATGACATAATTTATTGAGATCTCTTCATTTTCATAATTATCAAGCACCGTAGGTTCTTTTGTTATGCCATTAGGAACTTCTAGAGGTTCATTAATCTTTTCAAGAGATTATGTTTTCTCTTTTAAAACATCAATTATATTTGCCACGTTTCATTTTCGAGGATTTTTATCTTTGGATCTGGGTGGTCTTCCACGCTTCAGGCATGCCCTTGATTCATTTGTACTTGTATGTTTTCCTTCTGGGATATCAATTCTAACTGGAGCATTTATAGCTGCTACAAGAGACTTTGTTACTCTCTTAGTGTAACATTTCGTTTAAAATAGAATAATTATATAATAAACCCAGA